TTATTATTATTATTATTATTATTATTATTATTATTATTATTATTATTATTATTATTATTATGTCCCCCCTCGTCCTTCTCTTCATTAAACTAGACATACCCAATCGCAGCATCCATTCCTTATATGTTTTAGCCTCCAGTCCCCTGATCCTCTTAGTTGCTCTTCTCTGCACTCTTTCTAGAGTCTCAACATCTTTTTTACGTCGTGATGACCAAAACTGGATGCAGTATTCCAAGTGTGGCCTTACCAAGGCATTGTGAAGTGGTATTAATACTAATACTAATACTAATAATGATGATGGTGGTGGTGGTGGTGGTGGTGCTGCTGCTGCTGCTGTTGGAAGGGACCTTGGAGGTCATCTAGTCCAACCCCCTGCTCAGGCAGGAAACCCTATACCATTTCAGACAAATAGCTGAATTTGTTCTGAATATAATTTTGCTCTGAATTTGCTCTGAATAAAAATTTGCTCTGAACGGTCGCTAAATGAACTGTTGTAAGTCGAGGACTACCTGTACTATTTTTTCAATTCTTCTTGAACTCACAAAGTCTAAGTTTATTCTTTTTTTTTAAAAAAAAAAAATGAATCATACAGGTAGTCCTCAAGTTACGACCCCAATTGAGCCTAACCTTTATGTTGTTAAGTGAGAAATTTGTTGAGTCATAAATGACTTTCCTTGCCACATTTGTTAAGTGAATCACTGCTGTTGTTAAATGAGTAACCCGGTTGTTAAGTGAATCCAGTTTCCCCGTTGACTTTGCATGTGAGAAGGTCGCAAAAGGGGATCACGTGATCCGGGGGACGCTGCGACCGTCATAAATGTGAATCAGTTGTCAAGTGTCCAAATGTAAATCACGTGACCACGGGGCTGCTGCGATGGTCATAAGTGTGAAAAATGGTCGTAAGTCACTTCTTTCAGTGCTGTTGTAACTTTGAATGTTCATTATTTGTCTGAAATGGTGTAGGGTTCCTGCCTGAGCAGTGGGTTGGACTCGATGACCTCCAAGGTCCCTTCCAACTTTATTATTATTATTATTATTATTATTATTATTATTATTATTATTATTATTATTATTATTATTATTATTATTATTATGGGAATTGTTGAAAGCCGGAGGACTACCTGTACTTCCCTCTCCCGCTCTGTGTGTCCCCCCAAACCACATGCAAATAATTGCCACTCACCTGTCCTGAGATTCAATGTAGACATAAAGGTGGGGCTCAAAGCACTTAGAAATAATTCCATGGAACGGATTGCTTGGAATTTTTGGCTTTTGTGGCTAAGGAAAAAAAAGAGAGAGAGTGTCAACGCTGCTAACATAGGATGTTTTCGCATTGACCACAGATGGAAATGTAGCCATCTTTTCCCTTTCGCTTTTAGAGGTAGATGATGCTGGGAGGGGGGGATGTGAACGAAAGTCCAGCTAGGTACGGGGTGTCAAACTCAATTTCATTGAGGGCCGCATCAGCATTGCGGTTGCCCTCAGGGGGGGGTGTGGGTGGGTGTGGCCAGGGTGGGTGCAGCCTAGTGGGTGGGCATGGATGGAGTGGGTGTGGCCTACTGAGTGGGCGTGGCCAGCTCTACATCGTTCGCGTCAAGGGGGCCTGTGGGGGCCTGGGCAGGAGTGGGACAGATCTGAGGGTCTCTGGCAGAAGGGGGTGGGACCGGGGCAAGCGCCAAGGCATGGTCCATTTCTTCATTCCTCACAAAGGGTGACCCCTCCCCAGCATGCACCCAGGGGACGGGGCCGACGCGGCAGGGGCTGGTTCCTCGCTGTTTCTAGACGGCCTTGTGGAACTAAGACTGAATGCGTTTCAGCATAGATGGCCACCACAAAATTGTACATTGGCTCCCGGCTGGCCTGGGCCAGGGCCAAGGCAGCGGGGGCCGTTCCCTCATTGTTTCCAGGATGGCTTTGCGGGCCACATGAAACCACTTCGCGGGCAGCATCCGGCTCCCGGGCCTTGTGTTTGACATGTCTGAGCTAGACATAACGACACTAAACCCAGTGTGAGAATCAAGGTTATTGAGCCCAGAGCTGATAAAGAATTGGCAAGCTGGAGAAATGGAGAGGAAGCCCGCCAAGCTAATTGGAGAATGTGATTTATGACTGCAAACTGAAGGAGGGAATTGTGCCCAGGGGAGGGGAATTCAGTTTTTGGCTTCGATTATATAGTGCCGATATTATGCTACTCGAATAAAAGATCCTTTAAGATAAACAATGCCTCGAAGTTCCTTTGAAGAGTTTCATCTGTCGGAACCATGAAGGGAGATTATAAAACCAGAAGAGATTCTCGGGAAAATTGTCTTCCGGTTGTCCTCAGCTTATAATAGTTTGTTTAGCGACCCGTTTTAAGCACCTTGGATATTATCTTCAGGTACTCCTCGTCTTATAACCGTTCATTTATCTACCATTCAAAGTTACAACAACATTGAAAAAAATGACTTAACAGGTCCTCGTACTTACGATCCTTGCGCTGTTAAGTGACCAGTCGTAACTTGAGGACGACCTGTAAAACTATTAAAGAAAACTGAGGCCAAACTAAGCACAGCCAGACCACTCCTCTTTAGGAAATAACAGAATAAATACAGGTAGTCCTCGAATTACGACCACAAATGAGCCCAAAATTTCTGTCGCTGAGTGAGACTGTTGTTAAGTGAGTTTTGCCCCATCATCTTTAAAGCGCTCCATGGCATCGGACCTGGTCATCATCTTTAAAGCGCTCCATGGCATCGGACCTGGATATCTCCGAGACCGCCTTCTGCCGCAGGTTACCTCCCATCGGCCGGTATGCTCCCACAGAGTGGGTCTCCTCAGGGTGCCGTCAGCCAGACAGTGCCGGCTGGCGACCCCCAGGGGGAGGGCCTTCTCGGTGGGAGCCCCCACCCTCTGGAACGAACT